CTGGTATACACAAGTCTTTCCCATACATTACACTGGTAAGTAAGGTCATCTTCCGAGACAAATGCTTCCAGCTCCCTGAACTCGACGGTTAGACTTGTTTTCAAAACTGTGTAAGAGCTATACAAGGTTTAGCACAAGAACCCCCATGGGCTATCAATATCAAGCTCAAGAAGCTTTCTTTCACTCCTAAATGGCAAAAAGGACCGTAAATACCAGACAAAATGAAACAAACAGTCTGCTATAGGATATTTCAAAGTAGTTATACTATTATATCACGAAAATTGAAAGTTACTCTTTTGAAATCAACATTCCTAATTTTTTGAAGAAGGAGATTCAGGCATAAAGATCAGTAAACGTCCCAAACATCTCATAAACATAATTCTTGGACCTAAGAAAACATTGGTTTAAGACAAGATGGCTAAATTCAGAATGGAAGTGAATAAGGAAGCTAATGGGATACTACTGTTTATCTTAAGAAGCCATACAGTCTATTGTCAACCAAAATACAAGTTACTCTTTTTGGAACTTAAAAAGGCAAAAGAAACTCTAAGAGTAAAACACAGCTGTGTTGGACATCAGACATTATTACTGAAGAGTTGGTCGGGCAGCATTGCCCTAAAATCTTCCAAAATTTACTCATCTCTAAGAAATAGTTTCGGGATTTATAACCAGAAGCACATTTGGCGGTAGTGGGGTGCGATTTTTTTAATCTTCAGTTATTGTAGTCTACTTAACACGTTGTAATACAGAATTCAGAGTTCTTTCCTTTCACGTGCAATTTCAAGGCTTTTAGAGCTCATTTAAACATTGACTTATCCCTCCTTCATGCAAATACACAATAGTCAAGAGTCTAGGCAAGAGTGTTGCAAGTTGTAGCTTTCTTTAGAATTGTCAGGATGACATGGAGACAGTGTCTGTAATTAGGACGTACCCCACAACGTATCCCAGATGCTTCACTCCAAGGCAGCAGCTGTAGCAGCACGAGGGCATGTTATGGGATGAAGAAATTTGAAAGCACTACCAGCAGGCATTTTTAGAGGTGGCCAGGCCAGTGCTGATGCACACCTGCAGATGCTTACCTGCAGATGCTTCTTAATCACATTAGTGAGAGCGTGCTCTGCTGATGTACGCACACAGGACAGTTCCCAAGACCAGCAGAGCCCCAAAAACCTCCTGCCAGCACTCAGTATTTAATTTCAAACAACTCTACGCTATCACACAAGGATGGCTGGAAAGTCTTTCTGCAGCCTCCTTCTGCCTTCTCCCCGCCTAGGAAGATATTAAATTCTAAATTTTGTACCCATGAATTGCATTATCGAATTCTATGTCTATGGATCACCTATTACTATTATATACAGAATACAGACCATCTGCTTTGCTATTCCACACAGATTCAGAACAGGACAGAGCTGGACCTGTAATGCACACTTATAAAAAGTATTTTGACTTCTGGAAGTCAAAATACTGACCATTCTGTCAGGTATTTTTAAGGATCAAAATAAATCACTGTGTTCAACTCGCCTACTCAATGACCAAGTATTCCACCACTGCACTGTTACATTGTCCTCCCATCACTTTCTTTAAGCACACAATTACAAACGTATCGATCACATTCTGCAATGCACATTCACACATAAGTGTTTTGTTACTTCTCTGCTCCAGTCTACAAATAGTCTTCAGGACTCCTCATCAGACAGCAGATATAAATAGCCTAGCTTTTTCAAAACATGCACGTTCCCTGATGAAAAAAAGCATCTGAAAAATAAAGTACACTGCATTAATTAATGTTATTTGGGGTTTTTAATTATTGCAACAGGCAATGAGTCACAAGTCTGATGTAAAATTCTGTAAAACTCAGGCACTGGGCAAACATCACTGTGGTAAATACTGATAGCATTTGATCAAAGAAGTTTGTCCTGGGAAGAACTCTGTGTGCTTATGACAAGCGCTCTCCATCCTGTCCCCCTGCCTTCCCTCTCAAACCCTGACAAATAATTGCAACTCTGAGTCTCTCAAGCGCGAGAGAAAAACTGTCTTGTGAAAGTCACAGCACATCATCATGTGATGATCAAAGCAGCTTCTGAAAGCAGAATATTCTGGGTATCAGACGCAGCTGGAAGAACTACAATTTATTTTAACTACAGCGTTATTCTAGGAGCAATATCCAGAGTCCAGAGGGCACACAGGTTCTTGGTCTTTGACCTGCAGCTGTATCCTTCTATGATTCTGCCACCTATGCAGTAATTAACATACTTCAAAGTCTGCATCGTCTCTGTACCACTGTGACATATGTTTAAGTTCATTGCAGCTGCACAGGCCCATCATTTGATCCTTTCACTCTTCCATTGCTGCAAGCCTTTCACTCTTTGTAGGCAACTGAAATACACAGGCCTCTAAAGTATTCAGAGGTTTTCAATTTAAGCAGCAAGTATTGAAAACACTAGAAATCCCTGCAGTTGAGGTCTCCATTTGCTCTGTAAGACACCACATAAACAACAACTGCAAGCTGTGGTATGCATTCTGAGTGGTACCAATCTATCGCTAAATAACGAGTTACAAGTCACTGTTTGACAGCACAGTTTCAAGAACAGCTAAGTTACTATTGCCAGATCTGCTAAAAGCTGTCATCAGCAGTATGAGATACTTCCAGGGAAGAAAAAAGAAAATAAAGGGGGGGGGAAAGAGAGAGAATTTGTAAGGTTAAAAAGCAAACAACCAACAACACACACACGCGTATTTTCAAATGTATTTAAATTTGTGAATGCAACATGAGCATCTCGCTGTTCTTCAAGATTTACTCCTATTTTCACAAGAACAAACAAAAAAATCTGTAATGTTAAGTGCTACAAGAGTGAACATGAAGACTGCCACAACCAAACTTGCACAAGCTACACAAGGGCTGGCTGGATAGAAACACTGCTAGCAGAGAAGGTGTTTGCTTTAGAGCACCAGCTAAACAAGCTACTTTGGTTTCTTGAATGCTGTTTTTGTTGCAGGACAGTAATGGATCAGTGAACACGTGATAACAAATGATGTGATTCCAGGATGTCAAACTGCCCTATGGCAAAGTGGCTTTAAACTTCCTCTTTGCGTGATCAGATTAACACTCAGGCCTACATAAAAGTTTAGTTTACAAGTTTACTTTTAGCCATGGGTTCACACTTAAAAAAGAGACTACTTTGACTTTCTCAGGGATAGTTTAGGAAGCTGTCCTGCCTCTTCCAGCAAAATTATCCCATGAGAAACCAGATGAGAATTTTTTTCTCTGCCATCTCACAGACCACAGCTATCCTTCTCTACTTAGCCCCTTTTATTTTATAATTTATTTCAAACTCATTCACATCCTCCTCCTCTGTTTTCATCTTTCTAGAGCTCCCTTGAGCAGCCCTGTGAAGGCTACAAAAGGAATGCAGAACAATTCCTTGCATGGACGTGGTGGACCAAGCCGAGCTGTACTTTGCTTAGTTTGGCAGATGTTCCCAGTATTATAAAATCTGCTTTCGCACACAAATATTCAGCTTGCAAAAGTGTATCTCCCCCACCACTGTCCAAAAAAAAAAAAAAAAACCACCCAACCCCAAACCAAAAAACAAGACCCCAAACAACAGAGCTGTCAGCACACAATGCAATGCCTGATTAATTGCAAAATACTTACGATCCTCTGATATTCCCCTGAATGAAAGCACTCAGGAAGCTGCCATTTAGCATCTGGCTGTAATAACCTGCAGGTCTTCTGTGGATAAAGACTCTTTCCTCCAGTGCTTATTACAGATGTTTACGAAAAGGTAATCTTAAGCAGGGTCAAATTATTTAATTATGTTTCTACTTTGTATGTCAGATGTAAGGCTAATGAGCAGAGAATTAATTTTTGACAGGAAAAAAACTAGACCACCCCATCCTAATTGAAAAGAAGAACCATTCCTTTAGAAATTACTAATTGAAAGGCAGATGTCATACACTTGCTATTATTCCCTTTTTACAAGACCAAGTTCCATTCATAAATCCCCCAAACCATTACTATTTTGTTCAGCCATCTATTTCTGTTAAATCTATATGTTTATATTCACAATTCCTCCTGTGGCTCAGATAATACAGTCTTTAACAAGAACAGAGTTCCACTTGCTACCTCTTTCCTCCTCCCATTTCCCAATTCACAGGAGCCAATAAGCTGACCGTAGATACCTGGGCACAACCGAAAGTACACTGTGCTGCGTATGGGCCTGGCAGAGCACACGTCTTCCTGAGCAGCAAGAAGAACTGGGTAAGACCCAGTTCTGCAACTCGTCTTCTGGTGGGCTACTACTTCAAGGTCACAGCAGCAACATGATGCTCCTTACTACGTAATGAATTAATTTGATATTACCCCTTTAGATCAAAAATAGCTAATGCAAAATCCTGTATTTCTGGAGAAGAAAATACCCAGAGAGAGCACCTTCTGAAATGAACTAAGAACAGAGCTCTCTTTCAGAAAAACTACTGAAAGCAATATTTGACCTGAGCTCCCAGATTCTTGGGGATCCACAGCTGCTTCTGAGGGTCCTGGAAAGGCAACTATGGAAAGAAAGCCTACTGGCCTGAATTCAAGTATGTTTATGCACACCATGTAAGAGTTCCCACTACTACAGGAAATTTTTACAGGATCCACAAATCCTATTTGAAAACCACATATTTAAAACATATCCTCCAGTAAACAAGAGTTTTACTGTTAAATATACCCAGGAAGTTTCTCAAGATCTTTTTTCTCAGTCTGTTCACTTCCTTTGGATGCAGATTTCTTGCCGTTCTGCTTGCCAAAGGGAAAATATTTTGATACAATCCATACCACCATTACAAGACACAACTGACAGATATTAGTTGTGGGCAGCAGCTATGGGATGCAATCTACCACAGCAGACAGTGCCCTCCCCACCAGCACACTGTTCACAACAAAAGGACAAAGAAAAAATCCTACGTGAGAAGAGTTGAAAGACAGTGTAATGAAGAAACACGGTAAGACTTACGGTCAAGTCCGTTGATGTATCTCATCGTAATTTCACAGTGCCCCCAAACTGCACTGACTATGGGGTAAAGTTTTTTCCCTTTTAGTCCCCTGAAGGCCACTCCAAGATACTGTCCATCTACCATGAAGCTAAGCGTCCCTTCATCCATATCCAAAACCACCAGTAAGGAGTCTGGGAGTACAAAAGACTCATCCGGTTCCAAAAAGACAGGATATGTGACCCCAGGCTGGTTTTTACAATTGTGGTAGAGTTTGTTGCGCCCCAGATCCCAGCCCCACGATTCACCATTGCTACCAACCAGCGACGTGTATCCCACCGAGTGCAGCGGAGCTTCGGCTGTGGAGACGCCCACTACAGCGTGAGTTCCCCGTTGCCTCGTAGGCCAGTGGATTTGCCAGACGTGCAGGCCTCTCGTGTAGCCAACTTTGCCCCGGATGCAATCTGTGCTTTGGGCAACTGGGTGTCTATGAAAAGTCAGTTTATCATCTTCCTTTACAAATATATTTAAGGAGCGATCTTCATTGTTCCAAGCATGTTTATACTGGACCTCCAGCTTGGCAGGGGGCATATCCAACAGCATGTCCAATCGCGCTGGCTTGCAAAAATCCGGGCCTCTCAGCTCTCGTTTAACAGGTCTATAAGGGGGCTCCCTCACATCCACAGACTTTATGCTCCCTGAGATTTTCTGGCCCATTGCTTGGCTGCAGATTTACAAAGGAGAAAGAGAAGTTGACTTTGGCCCAACGTTACCTCATGAAAGCACTTTTACACTGAGCCAGTGACCTGACAAGCTGACTGGATTTACTTCTCCTGTTTGGAGCTTTAGCGCACCGATGTTTTCAGAGAAAAAATGCTCCTGAAAGAAAGCAGAAAGTTTCCAGTTAGTTTAAGAAAGCCAACAGAAAACCCACAGCATATTTTTAAATAACTTCTTCTCATCCCCAGTAGTTATTTTAAACACCAAAGCTGACAATTCACCACTTTTTGTTCAGTATCCTACAGTGCTAACCAGCCTGCCGGCAGGATACTCCGAGCCCACCAGCATACGGCGCGCAGACAGTCATTTCCTCCAATTCATAATAGGATGCAGACATTCCCCACCTTCTGCCCTTCCACCCATTTTGTCTGGCCAAGTTCACAGCAGTCCTGAAGAAGGCATACGCTATTCCCCAGCAACAGCAATAACGTTTATGTTCAGCCAGAGCTTCACTTTCACTTGCACTTTTGTTTCACAGTCTTAGGAATACACACTATGTCAGAATCTCCTTTTACTTCTAGCTGTTTTCTTCCCTGGGGCCTGGCGACACAGGGCTTCAGCTTCTGTTCTGCTATTACAGCCAACAGCAAGTGGCTGCAAATTTTAAATGGTTAATTTTAACATGCCCTGTCCTTAAATAAAAGAAAAAACAAAAATTCATCAAGCTTTAAATTTTTTTACAAAGGAGCTAAAAAAGAAAAAAAAAAAAAAAGGCAATGAGAGAAGAGGAGGCATGGAAGGACAAATGAAGAATGGCAATTTCAGTTCTTCAGCAGACTCTTCTATATGGGCAGCTACTACAACAGGCTATTTCTTCATGCTACAGGACAACAGGCTAATCCATTTTCTGTATTGCAGTGTTTGGCTGATGCGAAGGAGTGGAACACAGCAAGACACATTAAGGGGAATACATGATTTTGAAATGTATTCTTTCTGTGCTTTCATAGACAAACATGGTAATGTAGTTGGAAGTGGTCAAAGCACCCAGAAAAGGTTCTTTGCAGCCTGGATAAGTTAGATTAATTTGCCTTTTAGAGCTCAGGTAGAGCACAAAGGGAAGCCAAGAACCTCCAAAAGTGCTAAAGGGATAAAACTGAAGACAAAGTCCTATAAACTCAAGTAGATAACTGACACAGGATCAAATAAAGTATTTGCACCCGCAGACATACTTCTGTCTTCTAGCAAAATGAGTGCCAAGTCCAGGAATGCTCAAATACAGCTGAGGAGACCCAGTCTGTTTATTTACTGAGAGTGTGATGAAGTGTTTCAAGGAGAACCAAAAAGTGACCAAACTCTCAAAAGCCTGAATAGCCTAGGCGATAGCTGGTTTTCCTAACGCACCAAAGAGCAGACAGGGCAGAGGCATAGATGTCTTGCAAAAAACATCTTGCAAGACTTCACTTGGTGAGTCACAAGTCTTACCACAGATCGACTGTCCCATTGCAAAGATCATTTCTGAAAGAAGACGAATAAGAAATATGTGCTCACAATAAAAGGAAATAAAAAGAGAAGCCTAAGAAAACAACACCTGCAAAATTTACTATCCAACCATGGTTTAGAAGCCAATGAAGTCCTTATATTATTTACAAAGGCCAATATAATGTAAAGTGTTTTCTGCATGTGTTAAATACAGAAATTAAAACACCTGTGTTATGTGAAAGCTTGCTTTCTAAAAAAAAAAAATAAGTAAAAAGTTGATTTTCAAATCCATGTAGCAGTTAATTTACTGTATAAAAATATTATTTTCTGGTGGCTGGTCCACATGGGCATATGTGCACATCTGAGCATAAAACAACCGCCTCTTTGCACCTGATTATAATCTTTACAATCAAAATTAAACATAAGCCCCCAAGCCCTTCATATCAGGCTTACAAGAGCATTCGGAACCATTCACAGGAGCTGCTTCTCACTGAAAAGAGTACCACAAATTGAAAACTACCCCACGTGAAATCAGCTTGAACAATGCCCCTTACTTCCTTCCAAACCACGTAAAAAGAATCTGAAAGTTTAAACAGTAATTACATTTAACTTGACGCTTGCCATTTCCACTCCTGCAGGAGCACTCATAGGTTGTTTCCAAGGATGGCAAATTTTGCCCTCCGAAGCAAGTGCAATACCTGGGGGAAATACTGACACTAACATACACACAGGGAAGCAACAGGGAGTAAATGTCAGCAGGTAAGTAAGCTTTCCTAGGAGGACACATGCTCAGGGATTGGGTAATTCCCTTCAAAAAGGTACTTGATTATTTGAGCTTTAAAGAAGGATATGAAAAGGGAAAATGTCAGATGTTCAAAGGGAACCCCAGCGATTTCTATGAGATTTAGCTCTACATGCCTTTGAAAGTTTCCTCTTTAAAGCACAAGACAATTGCCACGTTCCCGTCAAGAGTGCTGAGGGGGAGACGGCCAGGGAAGTCCTCAGTGCATCCTCCTCTATCACTTCCTGATCACATGAGAAACTAAATTTGGCACAGAGGTTTACCTGGCAAGTCACCAAGAGATTATAAACACCAAAGTGACTCACTTGGCAAGCCACAGACAAACACTCTTCCTAACGTGCCCCAAACTGTAACATAAATAGGCTGCTAATAGATAGATCAGTAATTCAGAGGAGTACAATGCATCATTGTAAGCGATACGCACGCAACTGCGCCTTTACTCTGGGATATGCTTAGCAAGTACTTTGGTTTGAAACTGTATCTGACAATATTGGGCCTTTCTTCATATATGGACATTACCACATAGTTTAATTACATAATGTAACATTTTGCCAAATAGATTGTACGGACATAGGACTGAAGAATAACGTAGAACTCTCACACTCACTGGTGTGTTCAGGATGCAGCAGTGCCGAAGCGGCAGTCAAAAAATCTACCTTTCATCAAAGACTTTCTCCCACCCACTGCAACAGACAACACTCTCCTGCATCCTAGTTCTGTGTAGCTGGTACTTGTCCTCAGCTTCTGTTAGAAGGCCAACTATAGCTGCAGTAATCTCATTCAAGTATCAGGGGACTTGAACAAGTAAATGAAAAAAAAAGAAGTCAACATTTAATCATTTGTACCAGTACAGAAATAAAGGTATAGCCCCGTGCTGGCTGTGATCTAACAGCTCTGATTGCTGATGTTTAGTAGTAGCTGACATGAAAACTCTGTATGAGGAGGTAGTGAGGGGTTGCAACGCACGCCTCCTGCTTGCAACCCATGCAACAGTAACGTGAGCTCTGCGGGGCGCAACACACGCAGCAAGCCCTCCCGGCAGCTCACAACGCTCCTGCTGGCTGCTTGCAGGAGCGACCAGTCTCAAAGTCAAGATCACCTATTCCCTTTTCTTTGTCTGCATCCTGCCCATTTACACCAAGCAGATGACAGAGACCCACCCTGAGGCGAGGAACGGCAGTGGTGGCATCACCTTGCCCTCCACCCCGCCAGAAGCCACTGTTGGAGGAGCGCAGCTTACCAGTGCCCAGCCCGTCTCCACTGACAAAAATCCCCTCCCTACTTCCAGGCATAATACCACACTTCCAACACAGAAACCTCAGAAATGTCGTGCTCACACCATTACTGTCAGGATCTCCAGGTAGCTTCTCCCCAGGCAGCTACGCAACTATCGCACACCAGCGGCTGTTGGGAAAGCCGAGCACGATGCTCGCGAGGGGAAGCGGAGCGACTGCCACTTCATCCAGCAAAGCTGCTCCAAACTGGCTTCCTGTCTGCAGGACTGGAGGGCTACACCACACAGGATTAGCAAAAGGTGTGCGTCGCCCTGAAAGGACCAAAGATTATTCCTTCAGATTATGTACTATTCAGCCCATTTACAGAAATTTGGTTGTAAAACCTTCTCACCATCTCCTTACTTAATAAAACCTCTCCAAAGCACAGCACCATCATTCAACTCCTGTGACTTTTTGTAATCATACTACTTAGAGAAACTTAGATTATTTTTTTTTGCCCGTATCTTCCACTATACACATAAATATTTTGAAATAAAAAGAGCATGCATTTTCACTATACAGTTTTGCTTTGAATTTTTTCCCATACTTTACTCTTCCAGTAGTTTCAAACCATTACAGGAGTTAGGAGATAAGAAAATATTTCAATCTGACTTGGTATATATGACCTCTCCATTACACCTGCTTAGTGACTGCAACTGAAACGCTAAGTTTCATCAGTTACCCCTGTGAAAAAAGGTATTTTGTGGAAAAGTAATGTTTTCATCGGGAGAGAAGAACCACGCATTAGTACACTCCTGCAGCAACTGGAAATCTCTGGTCGAGAAGACTGTTAGGTTTTTTAACCTGAATTACTTCTATCTCACAGTTTCACATTCATGCCACGCCTTGTCAGGATACGATTAGATTAAACGTACTGTACAAGAACAAGCCAACTCCGAACAGGAAAAGCATGTCAAGGTCGCTTCACAGTGTCCTCATGCAGACTGCCAAAATATTTAGGGAAATTATTCACAACAAAACCACAAATTACACTTAACAGAGAAAGGCCTGCTGGGAGATCACTTTGCTGTAATTAAATAGGGTGCATTTTTTAACAATTCAGTACGTTGGCATCAGTAGAACATAACTGGTGATAAAAGAAACATGCTTTCTGCAAAGTCAGCTTTCAACATTCGTAGTTATACTTCCCTCTGGATTATCATGAGCTAGACATGCAGAAAACTTGAAAAACATGCACGAGAAATGACAACACATAAACACTATTCAAAACTACGGTAAGAACGTGCCAAGGCTGAGGTTAATTCTGGTAAATGGACACCAAAAAAGCAAGAACCTAGGTGAGTCCCAACTAGCAATATGCCCGTGAAACTGCCTGGCAGAAAAAGCAGGGAAGGTGATCCCTCTACCTACCAGCATTTCAAACTTTTACACAGCAGTTCCCACGCTTTATGCTATTGACCCTCATTGGGTTTTTTCCTTCCTGCAGCCAGACCTCACTACCACCTCCCCTGCCAACCTGGGCTTTGTCACCAGCAAGCAAGGACTCCTGAATGCTAAAACGAGGTGCAACAGGAGGCTCTCAGTCAAGGCCTCTTCTCCATGGGCACCAAAATTGTTCGTTCCCCAGGTGCCCAAACAGAACTGTACCCTAAGTGTTTGAGTACTCCGAATCTAACCCCGGTCCTAACATCTCTACAGGAACAATAGGAAGAAGAAAAACACCAGCTCTGCTGTGCTGGGCAAGTTGATGAATAAGGGTTTATAAGTTCAAGAACAAAGACTTTTACCTCCACCCAGACAACGTAAAGGCATGAGGCCCAGTGTCTATCAACTATATTCCCAGTGTGCAAACAGCTACATAACCATGACAACACTGTTTTGAGGGTGACAATGAATTAAGCACATTTTTGGCACCCTAAAAAGATTGGCCAGCTTGGGTTCAACTGCAGAT